CCGAGGTCGCCCTTGGGTGGTAGCGCGAACAGGAAGGGTGGACGGTCAAACCCCCAGCAGCGGCACGGCGCCACGCAGGCGCCGACGGCGCACGGGGCCTGTGCCAGGCCCGCGCTCACACGCATGTCCCCGAAAAGCGCAGCGGCACAAGGGGGGCCGACCACGAGGGGGCGCAGCGCGAGCTGGGCGTCGCCGAGGTGCCGCACACCCAGCGCCGTCCCCACTGAGCTGGCCCGCGGCAGCACCAGCAAGTCAATGTGGCTCACGACGACGGCGCTGGAGCCGCACCGTGACGAAACGAGGCTAGCCCAACTAACGCACTGGGCGCACAAGGGCCAGCAACCTGCATCACCAAGGGCCCAGGAAGGTCGTAGCCACCTCGGCGACGTGAAACTGCCCAAAGCAGGATCTGAAATCTGAACGAGTTCAGTAGAACGTCTGTACCAGCGGGGATCAAACACCACGAACCACTGGTAGATGACAGAACGCCCATACCATACGTATCCAGGTCATCTTCATCATCGCCTCCATCATCTCGAGGAGCCCCCAACTCCAAGGACTCGGGGTGAATTAGGCCATGGTCCGCCAGGATACACGCTGTGTCGAAATTTCTCTGCGGTTCGGCTCTGATCTTCCCCTTCGGGCAACTGATGAACACGTCCTCTCACAGCGGGTCCTGCCAAACCTTGGATTTGCTCACATTCCTTCGCACAAATTCAGATGGTCTGCGCGCATGAAGAAACCGAACCTGCCTGCGCAGGCTCTGCGGGTACCCTAAGTGAGCAGGAGGAGGAGCAGGAGGAGGAGGAGGAGAGGAAAAAGGAGAAAGGACACGGAGGAGGCGGATCACACAGAGGATGCTGAAGGTGCTGGTGATGCACCCGAATCTTCAGGGCCCGCCACGCAAGGCGAGCACCTCGGGCCTGCGCCGAGGCACATGCCGCCGAGCCAATGCTCAGCCAAACGAGGGAAATCCAGCTCTGCGACGAGAAGCCCTGAAAAAAAGAAATTGCAAAACAAATATCCCTCAACTGGCCCATTCCACGGTGAACTGCTACACTCTTCAGATGTAGGTTTCGAACTTTGAACGGTTTTTCAAAGAGTCTCCGAAGAGTTTCCATAGAGCTCCTTGGGAGCTTCTGAAGAGCTTCCATCAGCTTCTAATACATTCACGGGGGGTGAGAAACTTCTGCGAAACTTATGAGGAGCTCCTGGGGGGCTAATGAGAGCCCCCCAAAGAGCTCGTCAGAAGCTGTCCCAGGGCCAAGCGGCTGAGGTTTGCTTTCGGGGGAAGGCCGCTCGAGAGTTCGGTGGATGCTTTTCATGGGACCTGGCGTCAGGTCCGCCGCCTGTTCGTTGCCGAAGCCAACCTGGCGCCGCTTGTCGCCGCCCGTTGTCTGGGCCCCTGTGTCCGGTCCACAGCTTTGTTGTTGCCGTCGACGCCCCGTCGCAGCCTCGTCGCCGCCCGTCGTTTGGGCCCCTGGTGTCGGGCCCGCAACCTTAATGTCGCCGTCGCCACCGATAAAACTATAGTTTGAAACCGGAGAAATAAGCTGCCACTCCGGAGGCGGGATAACCCCCCTCTGGGAAAGTGCAATTTACACACGATTCTGCACCACCGGCACTTTAAACACGAATTCGGACCACCCGTACTAAACCAAATTCGCCCGCCCACACGCACGCACACACGCGCGCCATTTTTTGATTTTTCAAATAAAAAACGCGCGCACACCCGTGCATCAAAAATCTTCAACCCCAATGCTTTAAAATCTAAAAAATAGCAACATGCACACGCGCGCGTCGTCGAGCACATGCCGAAGTCCTTCAAGAACCCTGGGTTGCATAACAATGTCAGAGTAGGGTGGCCCGAAAACGTAAAAAGCCAACACGTGGTGTCACGTCATGAGTTTCGAACCGTGGAAGCGCGCGTTCATGCAAATGCGTGGTAAAACCATGCGTTTATTTCAACATGTTCATCAGATTTGACCAAGCGGGCCTCTCGCGCGCGCATGTCGCAATGATTCGAACGCCCGTGCGCGCGTCCTGGGGGGGTGGGCACGGTAGCTGTCAGATAAAACAATGCGGGTCACTCACGCCCGTCGGCCGCGCGCGCATGTCGAACTCTTCCCAAAACCTCCGTCCCCGACATGTGAACACCGTTATCGTCATCGGCGCGATAAGCATCGGCGCAAACATTCGCGTCGCCGTCGTCATCGGCACCATCGCCGCCAGCATCGCTACTACCATCATTTGGTCTGCCGTTGTCCACGTCGCCACGATAACGGGCCCGACCGAACAGCCGGCTCGAACTGAAGTGCCCGCGCGACAGCGCGGCCTGCGAGACGCGCTGGGAAATGCCCAGCGGCCAACCGCGGTCGCGTCGGTCGCGCCAGACTGACTGATCGCTCTGCGCGCGAGCACCGGCGCGCCAGCGCAGCCGCAAAGACACGCCAGCCAGCGCCGAGCAATTATCGCAATCTCCGCCGCGTGGCAAGTGTAAGTTCGGAAGAGTGAACCCCCCTCGTCACAAGGGCATTAAGATATACCCCCCTCTCCCCCCCGACACAGCGGCCCGCCTGTCCGCGTTGTTATTTCGCGCATGGTTATGTCTGCGCGCTCGTCCATCCCAAATTTGAACTCAACCGCCCCAGGCAGTCCTTCGTCGGCCCCTCCTCGTTCTTTGCAGCTCGCCTTTTTGTTGCCCACACACTGCGCGGGATCGACCCGGTGGTGTGCGAGGCGGCGGGCGCTTTCTATGTTTTCTTGCACGGCGGCGTTGTCAGCCGCCTTGCGCAATTCAGCGCTCTGCCCGGCAGCCACCGTCAAAGAGAATGACCGAACCGCCGAAGGCCACGGCGAAGCCTCGAAGCCTGAAGCCGACGTCTGCGCTGACGAGCGAGGCCTGCACGAAAATGCGCGTCCCCTGCCCACACCTGCTGGGGTGGAGCAACGCTCGTGGGCATGGCGCGGGAACACCCAGGACACTTGCAGATTTGGTGCTCGCGCTGTCAATGCTCTGCTTTCCCAGGGCTTTGCAGCGTCGTCCGAACCTTGCCTCTGCATGTCCGAGCTCCGTAGCTGCCTGCACGCCCTCCTGTGCTCAGCTGCGTTCTTGCTCTTATGAACACTGCGCTGGCCTGAGGAACGCTTGAGAGGTCCCTTCCAATGTGTTCACGCAAACACCTCACCCAGTGCCATGGCTCCGCGCCGCTGCGCCCTCTCGACGAGCGCGACGCAAAGCCCGATCAGACTCTTGGGCCGAAAGGGCTCGGAGAAGAAAGAGGAGACGAAGGGGGAGGAGGAGGAGGAGGAGGAGGAGGAGGAGGAGGAGGAGGGAGGAGGAGGAGAGTGGAGGAGAACGAGGAGGAGGAGGAGGAGGAGGAGGAGTAGGTGGAGGAGGAGAAGGAGGAGTGAGGGAGGAGGAGGAGGCGTAAGGGAGGAGAAGGGAGGAGGGGGTCCACCTACAGGCAAAAACAGGCGGACGAGAGGAGAGCACGCACGGCACGACAGGCGAAGCAACGGACGAGCGAGCGAGAGCGAGCTCGAGCGCAGGCAAACTACCGAAGACGAAGCCAGAAGCAGGCATCGTCCTGGGCAAGGAGCGGCCTCGGACTCCCATCCACTCCCCCGAAAGGGGACATTGAACAACTTCACTCGGGGGCGCGCAAACATGGATTAGCGGTTCCCCAAAATGCGGCTGGTGCCGCCTCGTCGGCAGCGGACATCCGCGATTCCCCATGGAAACGGGACCCGTCGCTAATCCACGCCCCCTTGATCCATGTTTGCGATCGCCTGATTTACCAGCTTCATCTCTTGGAGGTGAGTGGCACCCTTGCTGGACACATCCCCCATGGCAAGGCCCCCCACACGCGAGACCTGCCGGCGGAGGCCTGGGCACGCGAGCCACACCGACGGCAGAGAGCCTGGGTGCACCAGCCATGCACGCATGACGCCCCCGAGCGCTGGCAGGCCCCACAGGGCCCCGAGAAGGCAGGAGAAGATCGGGCAGGCGGGCCTGCCTCGCCACTCTCGCGGCCCCCTGCGTGGGCCCCCCCAGGGGCCCTCTCCCTCCTCGGGGACAGCGCCCCCGAGGGACGTCGCTGAGGAGAAATGAGGAGGGTCGATGTTCGGGGTTCGAGGATCCTTCGAACATGGCCTCCTCCCCTCAAGGGTCGAGGAAAATGGATGGGACGAAGGGAATGAAGTCGAATTACGTCAAAAAGGCAGATCCCACTCTTTGAGGTCTCGTTCTGCGGTGCATCTCTACATCCCTCTATCCCTCAGCACACGACGCCATACTACTCAATACTGCCCTGCATGATGCTGCATTGCATTGCGCAGAGTCACTGCACCACAATGCATCCGCCTTGACCTCCTCCGCATCTCCGCCCCTCCTGCTACCCTTCTTTCCCCTGCTTCACCGCCTTCTCCTCCTTCTCCTCCTCCTCCTCCTCCTTTTCCGCCTCCTCCTCCTCCGCCTCCTCCTCCTCCTCCTTCTCATCGTCCTCTACCTCCTCCCCCTGCCTCCCTCTCTCCCTCCTTCCCCCTCCCTCGCCATCCCGACACCCCCCTTTTCCCCTCAATGAGGGAATGAGGAGGCGGAGGAAGGGGAGGAGGATGAGTAGAGAATGAGCCATTGTCTATTGGAAAACTGATCCCCTTCCTCCACCTCCTCCGCCACCCCTTCCTCCAACTCCGCCTCCTCCTCCTCCTCCTCCTCCTCCTTCTCGTCCGCCTACGCCCTCCCCATCGCCCTCCCCCCCTCAGTCCCCCTTCCCCCCCGGCCACCCCCATCACCCCCCCTCCTCGCAACCTCGCCAGCTCTCGGAGAGAGGACCAGAGGTCCTCGGGGGCCTCCTCCCAGGGCCTCCAGAGACCTCCGAGGGCGGCCTCCCGAGGGCCTCCGACGGCCTCCGAGGGCCGCCGAGGGCCTCCAGAGACCTCCCGAGGTGCGAGCGCGCGCGCGGCCCCCTGGGCGTGCGGGCTGGCGGGGCTGCGGCCTAGACCACAGCGTGCCAGAGCCCTCGAAGGGCCACCAGCTCTCTCTCCCTGCGGTGGCGCGCGCAAAGGTCCGTGGAGGAGGAGGAGGAGGAGGAGGCGGAGGAGGAAGAACGGGAGGAGGTGAAGGAGGATGAAAGGAAGGAGGAGGAGGAGGAGGAGGAGGAGGAGGAAAGGGAGGAGGAGGAGGAGGAGGAGAAGGAGGAGGGGGAGGAGGAAAGGTAGGAGGAGAACGACGACGACCACCACCACCACCACCACCACCACCATCGAGACGGCCACGGCGGCGACGACAGCGACAGTCGGGAAGATGGACGACGGACGACGGACGGACGGACGACGGACGACGGACGACGGACGACGGCGACGGCGACGGACCACGGACGACGGACGACGGACGACGACGACGATCACGACGGGGGCGGCGGGGGCGACGAAAGCGACGGCGACGAAGACGCCCGACCACGACGACGAGTGTAACGACGGCAACTATGACGACGATGATGATGATGACGACGCCTGCACCGACGACCGCGACGAAGACGTCACCGACGATGGAAACGAGGAGAAGGTGACGAGGAATGAGAAAGCAAAAGGGGAGAAGAAAGGAGGAAGGAGAAAGAGGAAGGAGGGAGAAGAAAGAAGGTCGGAGAGAGGAGGGACAGGGAGAGATGAGGGGAAATTGAGGAGGTAGGAGGATCCCTTTCCCATCAGAAGAAAGAACTCTCCTACATGCTGTTCGTCACCCTCCTCCCTCTTCCTCCTCCTCCTCCTCCTCCTCCTCTTCTCATCCTCCTCCGCCTCCATACCCCTCCAGAGGAAGGGGGGTGCGCAGCCGACGACGACGACGACCACCACCACCACCACGACGACGACAACGACGACGACCACGACGACCACGACGACCATGGCGACCACGACGACGACGACGACGCCGACGACGAAGACGACGACTACTACGACGACGAAGAAGACGACGACGACGACGACCACCACGACCACGACGACCACGACCAAGACGATGACCACAACCACCATTACGACCACGACCACGACCACGACGACGATCACGACCACGGCCACGACCACGACTACGGCCACGACCACGGCGAGGATTTCGATCCTGGGACCTCTACTGGGGTGCGTTCTGGCAATGAGTCCGTGGCGAATAAAGCCGTGCCCAGGGGGCCCAGGAAGGCCTAGACACGTCCAAAGCTAAAAAACTGTCCTCGGCTCCCGACGCTCCTCTCCTCTTTCAGCGACGACGACGACGACGACCCCTACAACTCCCGATTCCTTCACTGGGCTGTTCCGTCTTATCCCGGACCGCCTTCTAATGGCCCCCAAAAATGCTACTCCGATCTTGCCGTGACGACGACGACGATGACGACGACGACGCCCACGACGATGACGAAGACAACGACGACGACGACGCCAACGACTACCACGGCGACGACGACGACGACCACCACGACGACGACCACGACGACGACCACGACGAGCACCACGACGACGACGACGACGACGACGACCACGACAAAGACGACGACGACGACGATCACGACGACGACGACGACCAGGACAACGACCACGACCATGATGATGAAGACGACCACGACGACGACGACCATGACGACGACGACGACCATGACGACGACGATGACCACGACGACCACGACAACCACGCTAAGGCGTCCACGACGACAGCATGCACCCGAATACTGGCCGCGAACCGACAGAAAGACCGAAGCAGACCCGAAATCAGCCGAGAAGCACGCAGCGGCGCAGCTGTGGGGAACGTCAGGGGGGACCGGATCGGGGGGGAAACGTCGACCTGGACACGGCGACGCAACGCCGAGAGATCGGCGTCGGCGGTGGGCCACCGAGAGCAAGGCCCAACGCGCCTGGGCAGGGCGGGCCTCTCGGGCCCCTACTGGCGATGAGTTGGCGATCGGGGATCCATGCGTCCCACCCTGAGCCGATTCCCCTCCGGATCCTCGTCTTCCTTTAGTAAAACGTGGTTTAGTGAAAACGACCTGAGGCCCAAACCTGGCGGGCGCGAGCCTGGAAAATAACGGCCGCGGCGCCCTCTCGAGAACCGAAAACGGACAATTCACTAATCGACGTGTCACTGTTGGGGGTTCTGTCCACCCCTGACTGTTCTCAGGTCATAGCTCTTGTCAAGCGGCCATTTGGGACGATCCTGGCACCCTCATGGCCAGGCACTGGCCGAGTGCCTGAGAGCGCGTCGAGCACACGACGGTGGCCCCCAGAACGCCATCGACGAAGCGCAAGTGATGAACACGACCCCGGGCCCCGAAAACTCGAAAAACAAATTGGAAAATTGCCGAACGCTTTCGACAACTTTTGAACAAATCTAGTCCTATAGGCCCTATACCCCCTCCCACGCGCTATGCCCTGCAGACGAATAGAGTGTCGATCCGCTCCGCGGGGCGGCAGGCTTCGAAAGGCTCGGGACGCTGAATCCTGCGGACTGGGAAAAGGACAACGTGTCGCGCCGAAGCGTGGTGAGCCAGAACCAGCAAATCGACAATCTATGCATGGTGGCGACATCCGAACCGTACCCCGAGCAACCATCGATTCTCCTGAATCGATGGGAAGCGGGGATAGGGTTCGGATCTCGCCACGTGTTCAGTCAATTCCAAACCTTATCCCCGCCGCCAATCAAACTTCCCAAATCTTGGATCGGGAAGGGTACGGTTCGGATTCCGCCGCCGAATCCGAAAATTCACCACCGCAACGTTGCCCCTGAGAAACAGCAAGCTACACCGAAGCTGTCGAGTGAAGCCCCGACCGCGAGAGGCGGCCGAACCATCAGCACTGCTCGATGAGCCGCCTCGCGGGCGAGACGGCGAAAAAACGGGTGGCGTGTGTCCTCGCAGCTTCGCGCAGAAGTCGCTGAGCAGCTTGAACTCCGCGTCGTGCTGACGATTGAAGATCCGCCCGTGCTCGTCCTCGGCCTTTCCGACGAGGGCGAGGGCGAAGGCGTCGTTTCCGTCGTCGTCAACATCATCATCGCCTCTCGGCACTCTCCTCCTCGAACTCATCTTCCTCCTCCTCCTTCTCCAAATCCTCCTTGTCCTCCCCTTCCTCCTCCTCCTCCTCCTCCTCCTCCTCTTCCTCCTCCTCTTCCTCCTCCTCCTATTCCTCCGACTCCTCCCCCTCATCCTCATCCTCCTCCTCCTCCTTCTCCTCATCCTCATCCTCATCATCCTCGTCCTCGTCCTCCTCCTCCTCCTCCTCCACCTCCTCAACCTCCTCCTCCTCTTCCGCGTCCTCGTCCGCGTCCTCGTCCGTTTTGACGCTGCGCAAACTTAGGGCTGCAGCCTGGAGCGTTAGTGCATGAGAGAAAAAACGTCTCGAATGCCGACGTAGGGCTAGAACATACAACTAAATCCTGGCGGGCGCAGCCGAGACAGTAGTGCGAATCCCACAAGCCCTTTGGGCGACAAGTGGTCTAAGGAGGGTCTCTGTCCACTTCCACACGCCCTCTCCCTTCGGGGAGGGGAGCCCTCCCCCTCCCATCCGTGAGGTGTTTTAGGGGGTCGCGACGAGTTAGAGTCCTTTTTCGGCCCCTGGGAGGGCCACTTTTTGTAACCCCTCACGAGGATCGCCCCACGAGGGCCCCCAGGGTTCCGAAGAAAGCCCCAAGAGGTCCCAAAGAGCGCCCCAAGAAGCCCCAAGAGGCGTCCAAGAGGCACCCGAGAGGCCCCCAAGAGGCCCCGAGCGGCCTCAGATGGCCCAAGCTGGCTCCCAAGATGCTCCCGCAGGACCGCTCCAAGACGGCTTGAGATGGCCACGGAGCCTCCCAAGCCTCCCTCGCTGTTTGACTATGCGTGCCTCTTCCTCTCTGCCCCCGTCAGCTCTCATGGGCATCGTTTCTGGATGGGCGGGTGGGGGCACGCGGAGCGTCAAGAATGGCATTGGAAAACGGAGGGCCCCGAAGGGCAAAGAATATACGCCCGTCAGGCCGCACATTCAATGGGGCAAAACATCAATACGAAATGTCCTCGTCCTCGTCCTTCTCCTCCTCCTCCTCCTCCTCCTCCTCATCATCATCATCATCATCCTCTTCCTGCTGGGTACTGGATACTGATGGCAGTAATGTCGCACCGACGCTGCCACACCCAGTTCAACCCCCGAAAGCTGAGCTGACGTTGAAAAGCTGGCCCACCAACCAAGAAGGGGGCTGTCCCTGGAGGAGAGTGAGACCGACGGAAGGGCGACCCGAGGAGGAGCATCACTCGAACGCGAATTTCAACAGACGCGGCGACGAGCGTGCAGGCACGGCTAGGCGACTCGGGCGCGTGCCCGACAAGGGAAAGTTGCCCGAGCACCTCCCGATGAGGGAGTGCGAGGGAGAGGGTCGCGAACGCAGCCGACGCCCCCGTAGGGACCCCCCAAAAGAGGGGGGTTCTCTAAGGAAGCTTCGGCTGCATCAGCGGCCCTGCTGTAACTGTCGTTCCTGCAGTTCGTGCTCGTGCAGCCTCGCCCGGAGCTCCCCCCTCCGCAGATCCTCTGGTCCTCTTGCCCCTCCTCCTGACTGCGGCGAGTGCCGCAGGCGGCGCCAGGTTGGGCACTGCTGCGCGCGGTCAGGCTTCGAGGTGGCGGCTGTCGGCGAGGCCCAGGCGGGGCTCAAGACCGCCTGCCCCGAGCACGACTGACATCACGGTTGTCATCACGGTTGTCCTCCCGCACCCCCTGCGCCATACCACCCGCCCATCATACTCATCCTCCTCTCAAGGCTGCGTGGCGGTTCGGCCACAGCCGATCCTGCGGTGGCTTCTGGCAGCTCGCAAGGGCAGGTCTGACGCCTGGTTGCATCGTCGCCCTTCCAGACAGAGGGCATCTAAGGGTGTGACGCTTTGGGAAGCGTAAGGCGGTAACAAACAGGAGGACGAGGACAAAGGTGGGGTGAGGTACTCTGCTCCCTGCGCTGGCCACAGTGTTCTGTGGTTAAGAAGAGGGCCGTCGACTGTGGTCGGTCGAGGCTTTGCATGGGCGGCGATTCTAGCGTTGCTACCCAGGGCTTGTATGGTTCAACCCAAACCTCCTCGGTCCCAGGACCCACGTGCTTTTCGCCAGTATTCTCGGGTTTAGTACGGGCCCTAATTGGCTCAGCGGGGTACGCAAAGCGTGCGTGATAGCCAAGGTGCATGGCTGCATTACGCTAAGCTGGCACTGTGCCACCTTAGTAAACCGTGCTGCACGGGGGTCGACCGCGAAATCGCTATGGGTAGCCACTTTGCGTCGGCGGTCGACGCGCACGCCTCTGCAGGGGCACTGTGGTGAATGAGCCTGCAGGCAGCGGCCAGGCACGGTAAGGGCAGGCGAAGGGCAGTGAGGGCGACGGGCGAGAAGAAAGGGGGCACAGAGTGATCAGCTATAGAATATGATCCTCACCGACGTCGTCGGCTGACCGCTGCCCTTCGGCTGGCTGGACGACTTGAAAAATCACCAGACGAACGATGCTCTCCGGTGCACTTTTGTGGTCGGATCACGGGGCAGAGGGGCACCGATCTTGCCTGCACGCAGATGCTCGCCTCGTCCCTCACCACCGCCCCCACTCCACGTCCTCCACCGCCTCGTAAACCCAGACAATCCCCCCTCTAGAACCCCGGTGTGCGGGGTGGTTTGGTAGTGATGGCACGGCGCCTGTTGACACCACTGCAGGAGCTGATGCCAAACGTGGCCATGATGCCTCTCGCAGGGCAGGCGCAGTTGTTGCTCTGCTCGCGCAGTGGGCGCTGCGAGTCGGCACGCGACTCCGAAATGGACAGAATGGGTGGCTCGGGCAACGGTGGGTCTAGCGATTGGGCGAATCTCCAGGCGCCAGTAGCTCCGCTTCTGGCTGGCAGCCGTGGCAAACGGGGCCGTCGGCCCTTGGATGGACCGCAGGTGCAGGTGACGGTAATAAGATGCAATAGAAGAGCCGAGAAGAGGAGGGGAGGGAGGTGGTGGCAGCTGCGGCGGCATGCAGCGGTGGTCGCACTGACACGGTCGGAACGCGCGCGCGCAAGGGACAGGCGCGGGCAGGCGCCGGCAGGCGGCCGATGCATTCTCCTCCCCCCCATGATGCGTAACTGCGTCCTCCCCCCACGCGCTCCTCGCAACAGGGCGGGCGAGGGAAAGGGGCGAGGGGAGCCCTCGGGGGACGGCCGCGGAGACAGCGGAACCCGAGGGGAGGGAGACGATGTGCAAAAAGAAGGACGAGGGAGGGAGGGGAAGGTTGGTGGGGAGCTGCACCCTCAGGCAGTGCGCGTTGGTCTTCGGTGCCGCCGCAGTGGACGCGGCAGACCTGGCCCCAGAGCGCCTTGCCCTCGAGGCTTCGGCAGCCCTGCGGGCTGCCTCTGGGGTGGCGTGGCGGTGCGCAGCGTGCCCGCTCGGGACCTCCATGGACGTGACGGCGCCGAACGCGCGGACGGTGGCCCGGATGCCCGAGGTGCTCAGGGCACCGTCCGTGCTGTCCACCGTGCTGGCGTGTACACCCCGCGGAATGCTTAAGAAATCATGGGTTAAGACATTCATAGTCTCAGAATTTGAATAAAAACCCAGAAATCCTCTGGAAATCTTAGGATCTACATCGAAACATCAAGAATAGTCGAGACTCTGGCCGAAAACTTAAGTTTTCTTAAGCATCGCCTCGGGTGTAGGTCTGAGGGGCGGCCAGCGGCGGCTGCAGCTCCCCTCGGCGCCTCGACCGTGGGGCACGGGAGCGGGTCGCTCGACGCTGCTGGCTCGGCGCCCCGCGGCACCTCCTCCGTCTGGCCGGCCCTCTGGTCCCCGGTGGCCTCGTCAGCGTCTGGCGCAGGGCCGGCGGCCCCGGCGGTCAGAGCTCGGCGCTCTCGCGCACCGGCTGGGGCTGAGGCGGCCGAACCCGTGAGTGACTCCCTGGGGGGGGGGGCAGGCCACACTGGCGATGGGCGCTCTTGGCGTCGCTGTTGCGGCCGGCTCTGTCCGCACGGTCTCCAGACGTAGCTGGGGTAGGTTCGGCTGGTATGGCGGTGAAACATATGTGCTGGCACTCGTTACGTAAACGGTCGCACGCTTATTCCAAACATTGTTTGAAGCATCGTCCTCAGACAAAGTATGTGAAGATGTCTTTCCACTCTGCTGGCCGCAGACATGATTGAACTTATCAATTGCCCCAGGGTTCAGACAACGCCTGATAGTGCCAACACCTGCGATTTGATGCGTGCCCTGCCTGCTCTCGCCGCGCAGCCAACTCGGTTATGAGGCGAAACGCGAGAAGAAGCAGTGAGCCACGAATGATGGCCTCGACCAGCGCGATCGGATTGCTATCGAGTCGCGGGCGGCCGCCTGGTCGCTGCGGCTGCCGCGCTGCCCGCAGCCCGAAAGATTCGGGCCCGCGACTCTCGTCCTCCTCCTCCTCCTCTTCCTCCTCCTCCTCATCCGAGTCTTCCTCCTCCATTCCTTGTCCTTATAAATAAATTCTCCCCGTGGCACCCCGAGGCCAGTTTTAAGGGCGGCCCGGGCGTTTCGCCTGAGACTTCCTCACCATGTATGACCCTGAAGCTTAAACAATGACAACAGTTTCACAGATGGAGGGCGGGTGGTTTTCAAACTGTGGTTTTCGCCTTAGCGCCGCGCACTTTCGTTTTAAAATGTGCAAGAGCTTCACGGATTGAGGTCGACTGGTTTTCAAAATATCGTTTTCGCCTTAGCGCCGCGCGCATTTGTCCTAACAAATCGCAAGAGTTTCGCGGATTCGCCTCTCCTTTTCAAAACTGTGCTCTCGCCTCAGCGCCGCGCACATTGTTCTTAAAATGTGCAAGAAATCACGGATTCCCATGATCGGCGTACCAGCAACAATGTTTTGGAAAGATTCGGGATTATGACGGTGCAACAATTCTATTGATTCGCGGTGTTGGTCCCTGGAATGGCGTTCTGGCACGATTCAGGATCGTCAAGACGAAACACTCAAGTTGATCCGTGGCGTTGGAATCCCGAGGAAAAACGCGTTGGTATGCGTCAGGGTCTTCAAACCGTTGTCTTCCAACGAGGCAGTTCCCTCCCAAGGGCTGGGGCCCCAAATTCTCGGATTTCCTGGGTGCTCCCGCGCGTTATTGGGCTGCCTCGCATGACTTTTCCAAAAGCCAGAGGGCCCCAAGCCGGACCAAGAGGGCCCCAGAAAGCGCCCAAGCGGGTCCACGAGGCCTCCAAAACAGCCCAGGAGCGCTCCAAGACGCCTGAGATGGCCCCAAGACAGCCCAAGAGGCCGCAAAGAAGCCTCAAGAGCGCTCCAAGAGGACCCCCACGAGGGTCCAAAAAGGCGAACATCATGGATGTACCTTGTGCTGTTACACGTGTTTCGCGGTCTCGCGTGTTCGGGCTTCCGACGCTCCACGATGGCCCCAGAGGCATCCAAAACCGCCCCAACACGGCCCAAGAGGCCCCCAAAAGGGGATCCAAGACGGTCCAAGAGGGCACCAAAAACGGCCCAAGAGGCGCCCAAGATCGCCCAAGAGGGAGCCAAGACGGCCCCAAGAGGGGGAACACGAACCGACAATTCAAGCCTTCCGCCCCAAGAGGACCCCAGGAGGCCCCAAGAGGCTCTCAAGAGAGCCCAAGAGGCCCACAAGAGGCCCCCAAGAGGCCCCACAAAGAGGCCCCCGAACGGCCTCCAAGAGGCCTCAAACTGCCTCCAAGAGGCCCCCGAGAAGCCTCCCAAGTTGTCCAAACAAAAATCCAATAAGCCTCTAACCCACAACCCAGGCACGGTGGTGGGATGGGCCGAAGGCCACTAGATCTGGCCCGTCACAGAAACGGAAAGAGCGCTGCAGAAACAGAAACCGACATTACTCACACCACCGTTCGTACTGGGAGCCTTGGCGTTGAGAGCTTGTTACGTCACCCCTCGCTCTTGGGAGCCTTGGTGTTCAGAGATTGTTGCGTTGCCGCCCGTTCCTGAGCCTTGGCTGGGCCTTGGTGTCAGAAACTTGTTACGGCACCGCTCTCTGCTGGGAGCCTTGGTCTTATCAGCTTGTTTACGTAACCGTTCGCTCTTGGAAGCCTTGGTGTGAAGAGCTTTTTGCGTTATCGGTCGCTCTTTATTTGGCGTCTCTGGTCCTTCTTGGAAGTCCTATTAGGGCAATTTTCGGGCCCTTTTGGAGGCCTCTTGGGAACCTCTTGGGGCTTATTGGGGGGCTCTGGGGGCCTCCTGGAAGCTTCTTGTGGGGAGAGGCTAGACTTTTCGGTTCGTGGTCCCCCTCTTGGGGCCGTCTTGGGGCCCTCGTGGGCCGTCTTGGGCGCCTCTTGGGCCGTCTTGGCGCCCTCTTGGGCCGTTTTGGGGGGCCTCTTGGGAGCCTCTTGGGCAGTCTAGGGTCGGTCTTTGGGGCCTCTTGGACAGTCTTCAACGCCGTGAAAGCCGAAAAGCCGTGTATGCTTAAAATGTATATTTTCCTAGAAGAAATCCATGGTTTTGGCCTCCTGGTGGCCTCTTGGGACGCCTCTTGGCTAGCGGAAAATCAAAGATGTTGGCCTCTTGGGGCCCTTTTGGGACGCCCCTTGGGCGCCTCTTGGGGGCCTCTTGGGGGCCTCTTGGGCCGTCTTGGGCGGTCTTGGGCTCTCTTGGAGCGCTCTTGGGCCGTCTTGGGGGGGAAACCCGAAAAACATGCAAAAACCCGAAGAAAACTGCCAAAAACAGCAATTAAACCGATCCCCTTCCTCTACCCCCCCCCCCTGGACCCCCCCCGTAAGGGCTTCGCCCACACCAGAACGTCATCACTCGTACCTCGCTCTTTCCGTTACCTGGCCCGGCACAGCAGCGGAAAGAGCGCTTCAGAAACAGAAACCGACATTACTCACACCACAGTTCGTACCGGGAGCCTTGGCGTTGAGAGCTTGTTGCGTCACCCCTCGCTCTTGGGAGCCTTGGTGTTCAGAGATTGTTGCGTTGCCGCCCGTTCCTGAGCCTTGGCTGGGCCTTGGTGTCAGGAACTTGTTACGGCACCGCTCTCTGCTGGGAGCCTTGGTCTTATAAGCTTGTTTACGTCACCGTTAGCTCTTGGGAGCCTTGGCGTGAAGTGCTTCTTGCGTTACCGATCGCTCTCTATTTGGCGTCTCTGGGCCTTCTTGGGAGTCCTATTGGGGCCCTTTGGGAGCCCTTTTGGAGGCCGGGGCTTCTTCGGGGGCTCTGGGGGCCT